GATGATCACACGATCGCGCACTGGACAAAAGCCTAGCACTAAATACGAAGAAGCTATAAGCGCACTGAAACCTAATAAACAGAAAAAGAGACGAGACCAAAGTGCCACTGAGGTAACAACAAAACAAAAAACACCACTAGCAACACACCATGTACGCAACAAGTCGAGAAACAAGGTACAGATGTACAAAGCAAGGGGACAGGTGTACCATTAAAAACTAGTTTAGAAACCATCAAAGAAGAAGACGAATACGAATCAAACGAAACTAAGATAGACGCAACAGAGGAGATCGTAAATAATGAGAATGAAATAGAAAATAAATTACCTGAAAGCAACATCATTTATTGTCGCGAAAAATTGTTTATGAGAAAAGATAATTATTTGTATTTTGTCAATGATAAAGGAGAACCTTTTGATGAAGGAGCTCGTCTTTTAAAAGAAGTAAATAAATTACCAAGATTAGAAAATTTAAATGTAGGATATCCTAAAATAATTAAATTTGGGAAAAGATATCACTTAGTAATGCCGCTAAGGTGCGAAAAACGAGAAAGCATCGAGGATATAATTATTATGCTAAAAGCATTACTCATGAATTTAGGAAACATTATTGATGAAAACAAGATAGTCACCTTTAGCTTAGCCAAAAGTGAAAGCATAGAGAACGTGTTATTCAGTAAAATTATTAACTGTATACGAGATAAGCTTGGAAAACTAAATGTCAAGGTCATAGTATGCACCGGACAGGTAAAACATCCCCTACTTAATGAGAGAACAGAGATTATACAAGAAGCACATTGTTCAGCAGTCGGAGGACACGCGGGAGTTAATAAAACATTTAATCGTATTCGACACAAATCGAACTAAGAACATCTTAAAGAGGACGTACTTAGTTTCATACAACAATGTGTTGATTGCCAAACAAAAAAATTAGTACGTGAAAAAACTAAACAGAAGATGTCATCACCGATTCTCCGCCAATACCATTTTTCAAAACTACAATGGATATTGTGGGACCGATGCCAACGACCAAACTAAGTAATCGTTATTGCTTAACATTTCAGTGCATGTTTACACGTTTCGCTATAGGTATTCCAATACCTGATCAAACGGCTATTACTATAGCAGATGCTTTTATTAAACGCGTAGTCTGTGTTTTCGGAGCACCAAACGGCTTGCTTACCGATTGCGGGCAAAATTTTTTGTCACAATTAATGAAAAGAGTTGCTAAAAGATTTCGTATTAAACAATTTCGCACAAGCGCTTTTCATCCTGAATAAAACGGATTAAAAGAAAGACAACACTCCTCATTAAACGAATTTTTAAAAGTTTTTACAAATAAGTTTGAAGATTGGGATGAATTTGTAGAAATGGCAATGTTCAATTATAACACTAGCAGACATGAGGCTACGCATTATACTCCATATGAACTCATGTTTGCAAGAGTTGCACGAGTACCATCAGCAACTCCGCCAGAACCGGAAGATCTTGTGCCTACTTATGCCGATTATATATCACAACTAATTAACCATTTGAATGCTTTGCACCAAATTGCTCGTGAAAAAATTACACTTGCAAAAATTAAGTCAAAACATTATTACGACAAAAAAATCAATCCCAGAGAAATTAAGGTAAACGATTATGTTTGGCTTTTAGGTGGCCCCGAACCAAAAAAATTCGATGACCAATATTCTGATCCATATCTGGTATCGGAAGTATGGCCCAACGGAAATGTACGAATTGAGATCGGCAAAAACCGCAGCAAAATTGTACATATGAACCGTTTACGCATATCGCATATAAGGCCAACCGAATAATCGTGTCTAAAATTTAATAAACAATCGCACAGATTGCATGTTCTGATTAAGATCTATTAAGGAATAACTTAAATTTATTGTTTGCAGATGATGAATCTTCTAATTTGTCTACTGCTCGTGGAACTTGTCACCAAGGCGACGGCCTTCATTGCTTATGATTGTGCGCAAAAGTTCGCAAATATTATATATTTTTCTTTAGTAGATATTGCAGACTGCGAACTGCCACCACCAATCGTCAATTTTACGCGGATCGAAGTATCACTATTGCAACTCAATGAATATTCGTCGGTCCAAGTGCGCTATTGCAAAATAGAAATAGATATGGACGCTAAGACATGCGGCTATAATAATCATAATATGGAAGTTGGATTAGGAAGAATAAAATACCTACGCGAAAAATCAAGAGACGAATGTAAACCTGGCACCATAGGAGAAGAAATATTTCTAAGAAGATTAAATGTAGTGTGGAGTGGTGGTTTCTTGCCTTTTGAAAATTAGAGACTTTATAGTGCTTCGAAGTTTTTCTCATTCAAACATATATATGTGAAAAATTACTGGGTGTTTAGTACGTAGTACTTATTGTAACTCATTATGTGCAAAGTATAAGTATATTATCTTGATGTACGCAATTTCAAATAGGCAGGTGCAACTTGCGAGCGCCCTGCGTCGCTGGTTTTCAGGGGCTGGCATGTTACGTCAAGGACGAGTCAGACTATTTTATGGCGGTAAAATTTGAATTTTTTATGGAAGGGGAGTTCCCGTAATTAAAAGCAATAGTCATTTAATAGCTGACTTTAATCTCAGTGACGCAATTACCCGTTCTGGGATTAACCCTTTATCGATTAGTTTTTATGTATTTTGTGCTATAAAAGAGAACGCAAAACAATTGTAACAGAGACTCTGTATTTTACTCTGTGACACTACGCACCTTCTGTAATTCGATCAATAAATATTATAAATCTATTTCTATAATAACTTATTTGAGAGTTATACCTAATCCATGTCCATCTCTGGGTTCTGAGGTACGAGTTTCTGGACCAGTTAAACTGCAGGTAAATTATTTAATTATTACTTATTCACTAGGTATTTTAGATACGTTGCCGCCCTGCTTTCGTTTGAGTCTCACACCCGTGGTAAAGCGCTTACGCGTTGACCGAAAAGAGACAGTCGCGTTTGAGTAATTCTTGTCAATTCGCGGCCGTTACGTGAGACGTAACATAAACTTCAAAATAAAAACATACATCGATAGATTATCACGATAAAATATTGTACAGTGACTTCGGTTTTATAATATATTAAAATATATTTTTTAATACACTAACTGTGTTAAACAATAACCGTGTGAAAGTCTACCGAAGTCATTTACATTGTAAAAAATATGATTATAGAAAAGAATAATCATTTCGAAACTTATATTCCACTTTTTATCGTGTTTTTTATACTGTTGGATAATGATTTTTGAATACAGAACTTCGGATAATAATTGTGAAATTATTTAACAATTATGAGTATCGATGTAACTATTTAATTATCAATAAATATCATCGGCAGCTATGTGTCATATTAAATTTAAGGCATATTTTATTTTGGAATTTTTCGTTTCGTCAATAGTAGTTTTGATCTATATTGGTGCATTAAAATGAACATGACTGGAAGACTTAAAAGATAAATGTAAAAGCGTATAAAAGCGCACTAGACATCACTAGTTATTAAAAATATTTTTTCACAGTGTTTATGATATACAAACACGTGTTATAACACAAAAACTTACATATTTTAAAAGACTATTGGAGTTTAATAAACGACGTTATTGAAGCGCCCTATTTTAATAGACATAAGTAATTTTGTACATATCTAAAAAGACAATATTGTACATTGAACCAATTTGTTTAAGTCTATTATCATTAAATCGTTGAATGACGTCAATTATTCCATTTGTATAGTCCATTTTTTATAATCTAAATTTTGTAATATCAGACTTGCGACGGTGATTGCATTTTTTAAATAATAGATTGCACATAATAAAATTCGTCTAAAATGTATCATATTAGTTTATGTTTATTTTTACAATTAAAAAAAATAAATCCATAAACACCAAATAGGCTTTACATCGCAACATATGGCAGAAAAATGATACTCACTCTAACAAACGCTAGTAGCGAAGGGATAAATTATGCGTCCAATAATCTAAAATCTCCGGGTTCGATCCTCGATCGAATCAGATTTTTTCTTCAGATTGTTTTTTCAGACGTTTTCTAAATAACATCATTCCTAAAAAAATTACGTCTGAACATCTTACGATATAATTAAAATTCTTTAAAATTCGACATAAAATAACGTCAGTTAAAGATGTCATTTTTTCATCGATCGTCTTCGTAAGGTTTGGTGGCTCGTAATAAAATAAAATTATTGTTATAAGAAAAAAAATAAACTCTAATATCAACTGTAATATCTTTATAAGTTTTTACTGCCTTTCTTAAAATTCAAATTATTAGAAACATAAAAATTTATAAATGAAATATAGTTTAAATATGTTTATCTAAAGTTATTTATTACGATGCGGCAAGAGAGTAAACAGTGAATAATTCGAATTAAATTTGAGTAATTTTTCTTTTATTTCTTATTCTATTAGTTTTAGAAATTAAAATAAACAAAGTATTAATTACAGATTCGGATTTACAGTGGATGAAACACTATTTCGAAAATTCTTATTGGATACATTGTAAAGAAAAAAATTTTTTTCCAGATTTTCAATAGTTTATAAAATTAAATAATAGGGTTTTCAGCTATAGTTTAAATTAATATATTAATGAATATCAGTAAGAGGAATTAGTTTACATAAGTTCTAATATGACAAAAAAATCTACTTGAAAAATTACTGACAACAATATTAAATAACAATTAGATAGATATAATTCCATATGTTTCTAAAATAAGTATTTTACTTTTGTATTTACTTTTTTAATATATAATTAACAGATTTTAAATTATCTTAGGAATAGTTATTTTATCGATATTTATTTCATTTGTTTTATTTTGGTGGAAATTGACAACTTCCCGATATAATAAAATTAATAGACAGAAAAATTATATTTGTTCTTTTGTAATGAGCAATACGAAAAAAAAAATTATAATAAAATAAGTGAGCTGTTATCTATTATTACATGAATTAAAATTGTAACTGACCTTGAATAAGTTAGCGAGAAGTGCAATAGAGGATTTGATTATGATAGCAAAAGATACTCAACTATATAATCTTTAAACATAGGTTATCGTAATAAAAGTTAATAACTGAAAGAAGTAATCAATTTTGTATTGCCTAGTATAGTTTTTGCGTTTTGCTATTTGGGTGTATAATCACAGCAAATGACACATCAGCTCAACCAATGCACGGTGCAAGTAACCGAATGACAGAGACAGCATCAAAACTCATATAAGCGCAAGCGCAACCTCGACTGCACATCAGCTACTAGTTTAACGTATGAGCTTGATCAACTCATCTTCGTCAATGAACACTTCGACACACTTGTTCTTCCGCATTATCGCAAGCCATATAGATAAAAAAATAATTTTTTATTTTTATTTCATGTAATAAGCTTATATCTAGTTAGCACACGTAACGTTTTAATTAATGTATATCACTTCTCTATTCGATCAAAATATGTATGTATGTAGGTAATATGGAAAAGTAAATACGGTTCTTTCTATGAAGATTAGCTGCATTAATTTGTTTAATTATTTAGTATTATTATTATTATTATTATTATTATTATTATTATTATTATTATTATTATTATTATTATAATTATTATTTGGTTGAAATTAAATATAATTATTTTATATACTTTTAGTTATAGATGAAATCGAGGGAACGACAAAGTTATTTCAATTGATGCTGTCAAAGGTTGGAATAGCATGTGTGCGTGTTGCTTTATTACAGAGGAAGCTAGTGCTTTTGTTCTTTCAAATTGTTCTAACTGTCGAGTTTCAGTTACACTATTATGCCTGAAATGAGAATAGAAGATTGAAAATATTATGTCTATGTTTTTTTTTAGAAATCAGGAAATTATATAACAGTAATAGAAGCAATATTAATTACAAAAATTTTTGATTTATCTTATTGGCCGAGTGAAATGCGAATAAACATAAACTGTTAAATTGTTTTATTGTCATACAACAAAATTTATTTGTATGTCAAAAACTAAATCGGATTACCCAGCACTAGTATATAATGTTTTAGAACATTGTTGATTATCTGTACATTTTTCAAAAATATTTACTTTAAGTTATCGCAAAGATGAGGAGGATAAATCCAAAAATCGAAATCAGACTGAAATATATTGCTAATTTCAATTAATTATAAAATAAAACTTTCTTTTATTTTTCTTTTCTTATATTTTTTCTTTCTAATGTTTCAATTGTAAAATGAGAGGCGCTCTTATGTTTCTAAGTAACCTTTACATAAACGTGGGTGACAAAATTTAATTCAGTCACGATCAAATTATTTATTATTATCAATAAATTACTATAGATAGCCAATCCTGTAAATACTACCCCACTAGAAATAAATATATTAATTTTGTATAAAATGTGTACGAATTTTATACAAGTATATATACACAATCTGTAAAATACTTCTATAATACTTGTATATATTTAAAATTATATATATAAAATCCGTTCATATTTTTCCGACAAAATGTTTACAAAATTTGTATAGTACATGTTTGGTACAAGACTCGTACAAGTTCTGTATAGATTTTATATAAAACTTACAGGACATTTTATAAATTTCGTACTCCATAAATCGACTATTTTCCTAAAAATTGAATAAATAAATAATACACATATATCATGAATAAAATAACGTAGGCATCTTCTATAAAAAATAAATTATATACGAAAAATGAAAAAAAATAAAAGCACATAACCGATCTGATTAAGACTTAAACCCGAGACCTTCATGTTACCAGATTTATATTTTATTACTTTATTACCTTATTACCGACTGTTACGGTACTTACTAATTATAATCTATTTTACATATGATTTGAAAATTGCTCTTAATATTCAACAATTAGTATTTGTAAATATACGATTTGGAATCAAACAATATAACTAAGTTATGACTTCTATATAAAATTCTGTTATTTTTTACAAACCTATAGGAAAGAATGGACTATCTATCATAAATCTAGACTACCTTAATTCTAATGAATCTGCAAATCAGGAAATTTTTTGGCTATCTATTTGTCAGTTTTCTAATTACAAAAGCTTCTGATTTCATTTTTACTAAATCATTTTTTAATACTGACATTTTCATTTCACAAGAAAACTAATTAAAAAACCGGGATTTGACAAAGGTAAAGGATTCCTCAAATAAAATTATTCTGAAATTCGTATAAAATCATAAAATTATTTTATTTAGTATATAAATTTACTATTTATTTACTATGTAAATTTTTATTTACTCTTGAAAAGAAACTTGCTTAAAAGTTGAAGTCATTTAGAATAGAACAAAATTTATTTGAAATTTGAAGTCTATTTCTCTTTTATATTTTTACTTGTATTTTATTTTTTATTAAGATATCTTGTATTCCTTTATATTTTTTTATTAAATGTATTATAATTTATTATTTACGACAGCCAATCAATAATATGTAAAAATAAATGATAAATTTAATAAGATATATGTTACATCAATTTTATTGAAAGAACTTTAACGTTATTATATAAAAAATGAATCTTATCAGCAAATATGATGTACAAATACATGTATAATACAAAAATTGTACAATGAAAAAAACCATTAGAATGTAATAAATGACATCATTCATGTATATCAATTAAGTTGATTTAAGTAATTTTAGGCATACTTAAAACTATAGTATTGTACACTAAACCGATTTGCTTAACTCTAATAAAATGAAATCATTGTATAACTTCACGCAATCTAGCAGATGTACGTAACTGGCTGGTGACGTAGCAAAAGATATATCTGATCTGCACTTGCCGTCATTTTGATGAGAAATAATTAGAAAGATTATATTGTTTTTGTCAATGACTATGTAAACTGAGAAAAATATACCGAAATAAATAAGTAGTTTACACATATACGTATTACTAGTTTACACATAATATTATTAGTTTACACATATATACTGAATAATATTTATTAAACGTTGATGATTAGTATACAAAAAATATCAAAAGCCAATAAAAATTTCCAGGACCATGGACGATGGTGAAAAACATATGGAATATATTATGGTGAAACTGAAAATATTAAAAAAATTTCAATACCCAAGATCATTGCCTTCATAGATAAGTAGAGATGGTTGATATTACCTACATGATCCACATTATCCACATGTTCCATATCCCCTCCACTCTCCCTTATTTCTAAAGAAATTTACCAACAAAATAAACCTTCATTTTGTTTAAAATACTATAATAAGAGAAAATTTTTAAATAAATAATTACATTTCGATTTACATTTTTGTGTGTTAACTGGATAGAATAAAGAATTATTTTCGAATAGATGTAACATACAATTATTCTATCCTCACTCCGTTTAAACTACGAAATTCAACCGTATTGAAAATCAAATATGCTTTGAATCTATTTTTGAATCCTACAAATGACAATTTAAATTCATTAAAATGAAATGGATCTGAAATTAAATATTATAATATGTAAAATTAATTTCGGGATAGGGATAAAAAAATATTAAAATGGTTTGATTCATTTTACTTAAATGAATTTCAATTGTTATTTGTACGATTTTAACGCTGAAAAAACGCTTACAAAGCCTAGCTTCTACTTACACTTATTTCGATATTGTTGACTACGGAAATTTTAGAAAAATAAGGGATCATTTATTGAAATATAACTTTTAACACTCGTGACAATTCAATTTTCAAAAAACGCTGTATAAAGTACAGTGAAATGCAGAAAAAATTATGTTCTCTCCAAACAAAAAACAGAATTTTCTACAACACTCTATAACATTGATAAAATTCATAAAACAAAATACATCTAAAGAAAAATTATATATAATCTGTATAACTCATGTTACTGGAGAACCACTGTCTTCTGAAAAAATTTCGGTATCTTTTTCTATGTCAGTTTCTGAAACTTCAACGAATTGTTTAATATCAACTATGTGCTTCTTCAATTTATAAAACTTAAGAGGATTTTTAATTAAGAATGTACTTGACTAAACGAAAATCCTTTGCATTTGTTACTGTTGATCATTCAAGGACTTTCCGTTCAGCTCGTACTTCTCAATCGTTTGATGCATTCAAACCTATAGTCGGATAGCTTTCATAATAAAGTACAAAAATATTGGAAAAATCTGTCAAGAATGTTTCAGTACATTGGAATTAAATGAATAAGAATTAAAAATTTATATATATATATATATATATATATATATTTCTAAAATTTCTATAATCAATAATATCGAAATAAGGTAAGTAGAAGATAGGCTTTGTAGGCGTTTTTTCAGCGTTAGAAAAATGTTTGATTTGTAGTAGCAAATGGTATGAAATACTATGCTTTAAAATTAATTTTGAAACGGTTAAGACTGATAAAAGTAGAAAAAAATCGTATAAATTTGGTTGCATCAAGTTTCAAAGATCATTTGAAGGTCATATAATAGAATTATCGTCTCTATTGTGACGTCGGTTGACGAGTCATTTCTCTTGCGCACTTTTTGGTTTATCCTATAGGACAATAACCGGGACGTGCGTTACCACTATCGCGGAAAATTCTCTTTTCGACGACGGAGGATTGAAGCTTCACTATACCACACGCTTGGCAATACGTATAGTTATGCTTCGCGTTATTTTACCACACTCTTGGCAATAAAATAACGTAACAGGGAGCCTATCTAGTATGCACTCGACCACACGCTTGACAATCGAGTGTAACTATCTAAAGTAAAAAAAAAACACCGTACGCGAAACTACGAAAGAAAAGAATGAGGAAAGAAATGAACCGAAAATTAGAGAAATTAAATGAAAGAAATTAGTTTTAGTTTCGTTATTTAAATTCTTTTACTTACTTTTTATACTAATGTCCCACACATACGGAGATCTCTTTTATAAAATACTGAACTGAACGAACTGAACGAACTGAACGAACTGAATGAACTGAATGAACTGAAAAAACTGAACGAACTGAACGAACTGGAAAAAACTGCCTAATTTTCTTCAATAGCTTCCTATTATGCTTTTCGCAAGAGACTCCCACTCTAAATTCCTTGTTATTTTTGGGCAGAAAAAACTCAAATTTTCCTGATTTAATTGGTTGGAAAATTTGGGGAGTGTCTCAAGCGTAAGCGAAATTCGAACCCTAATTGGTTGGGGGCGGAGTCTGCGGGAGTGGCCTCACTCAAGTGTTTTGGGCCCTCTTCACACAGATGGCCCTCTATGTACTATTTTCATCTTTAATTATTTAAATTAATTTTATCGAAATGCAATT